TGCTTAAACAATGAAGTTTTCATCTCTCCACTCTATCTAATGTTTTTAAGCCAGTGATGCTCAACCTTTAGCAGGCTTCAGAATCACCAGAGTAAGGGGTTGTGGGGAAAGGGGGAAGGTGGACAAGCTTCCTAAAAGAGATTGCCAGACCCCAACCCCAAAATTTCTGACTCAGTGGGTTGGGGTGGGGACTGTGAATTTGCCTTCTAACCATCTCCCAAGTGTCACTGCTGCTGGTGGGGTTAGGGACCACACTTTGGGAATCTGCTCTAGGATTTCTCCAGTTTTGGTTGACTCTGGGCACAATTAATCCAAATATATGAGGCTTTATTGTACTGCATAGGTGATATTGAATATTGTTTTCCCACAGTTATTTAAAGCATTATAGTTCAGTAATTTTAAAGTTTCAATAAACCCTTTTATTTTACCAAGGTGAAAATACACCATATGATTTTAAAATGATGCTATGTCAGCCAGGACATACATAATTTGAGTCTCAATTTGTATTTCTACATTGTTTCTACCTTTTCTCCTTCTCTTCCCTTTTTTCCTCTCTCCCTTCCTGCCTCAAACATTTATTTAGTGCCTGCTCTGTACCTGACACTAAACTAAGGGCCAGGGTATCGCATAAATTAGTAAAGGATAAATAAGTATCTTTGCAGTCTAGTCATGGGATACAGACATGAAAAAGAAGTGAATACAGTCATGTGTCACATAATGATGTTTTGGTCAATGATGCACTGTATATTATGGTCATATGGTCCCATATGATTATAATACTGTATACTTACTGTATCTTTTCTATTTTTAGATACACAAATACTCAACCATTGTGCTACAACTGCCTACAGTATTTAGTACAGTAATATGCTGTACAGGGTTGTGGCCTAGGAGCAATAGGCTATCCCATCTAGTCTAGATGTATAGTAGGCTATACCATCTAGGTTTGCGTAAGTATAGTCTGTGATATTTGCACAATGACAAAATTGCTTAACATGCAATTCTCAGATGGTATACCCATCATGAAGTCACACATGACTGTACAGTGACAAGTACCAAGGGCTGTGGCAGCAGTATCTGGGTGTACAGTGAACAGGGCATGAGCTATGCAGGAGGGGTGGTGGGATGGCAGGAAAGGTATCACAGAGTCGGAACTGAGGAGCCAGCATGGAGTCTGTAGCCTAACTAGAAGGGACGGGAACTGCGATGGTATGAATGCCACAGTGTTGTCTTGCTCTTCCTCCTTTGCTTAGTTTAACTTAGAGAACATCCCTAAGCAAAAGGTCTTTGCTATGAAAGGACGAGACCTTCCGGTCATCCTTTCTGGACTGGCTAGGGCTGGGAGTGATTGTGTGGTACTTAACTCAGGAACATAATCCTTTCATTATGTCCTAATAATCTAAACTAGGCTACTTCTCAAGAATTCTCTCTCATGCTTATAAAATGATCACATGTGCTGGGACCACTGTATTAGGTTTCAAGAAGTGTGCCTCAATGAGTGGATGGTCATAAGGCATTAGAGAACAGCAGGAAAACAAGGTTTTTAAGTATAGTTTCCAAGTTTTTAAGTACATGGCCCTGGGACTTACTTTTGCATAGAGCCAAAGCCCAACTCTGTCACTACCTTTGTGATTTTGGAAAATTTCTTAACATCACTTGAGCTTCAGTTTTCTCATCTGTTCCAATTTTAATTGGAATATGATATAAAATTTTAATGAGGATAAAATAAGATGACATATGAAAAGTGTTTGGCATATTGTAAGTCCCTGGTTACTAAAACAGCAGCAAAATAGGCACAAAGAATAAAAGCATTTGATATAAATGCAGCTTCATCCATCCAGAGATCATATGGAAAGATACAGTAATCTACCAGTACCCTCTAAGAAGTGTTATAAGGAATTGCTTTAAAATTATAAATTATTTGAGACAGATTCACCCTCAAGCCAGAAGAATCACAAGTCTATCAGTGTCTCAGCTGATCAGTACATTGGGAAAATCGAATGATGACAACTCAGCTTTTATTTCTTTTTGATGTCTTGGGTACAAGTGGGACCCTGAGCTCACAAACATAGCATCAGTGAAAAACTCGTTGAAACTTTTCAATGATTGTTGAGAAAAGAAAAGGTTTTGTTTTAGTGGGATAAACACACTTACTCCACCTACGTTTTGAAAACAGATGTTTCAGAGGAAAAGAAGTTAAGGAAAAGCAAATGAACTCTCCCAAGCAGCCACATCCTATCCATGTGCCCATAGAAAGAAATTAGGAGTATGATTCTCATTTTATTGTCAGAGATCATCTTCAACTCTACTATCTTAAGGAATCTTTAATTTAGGACACTCCTAAATCTGCTTTCTCTGATTTTCTTCGACAAATATAAACATTATTATAATCCTCAGAAAAGATAAAGTAGAGCTGCTTGAGCCAAGAGCCACTTAATAGGTACCAGGCACTAAACTAAGTGCTATATAAACATTAGCTTCATTCAGTCCTCACAGCTCAATGACAGGCACCCATTTTACAGAAAAGAAACATGAGGCTTAGAGAAGTTTGTCACTTGTCCAAAGCTTTCCCCTACTATTCAGCTGTATGTTCAAAGCAGAGCTATGAACCCAGTTTCAGAATGAGTGCCTGACCTCACCATTGTGCCGTATGGTCTCACCTGCTGGTTTCAGTCCGCCATGGTGGAGTATCAAATTACACATCAGCCTCCTGTTGCCCAGCACCTGTTGCTGGTCCCAAACGAGATAGGGCTGCAGCTAACATCATGTTAGCAGGATGCCCTGGAAACCCTGCCTGTAGGTGTAGCAACCATTTAACCAGAGCTGGAGCTCCCTGGGTCTCATGCAGGTGTCCAGGGCATTGAGGGTTTAGGGTGATCTCTCTGGGCTTGGGTGACCTCAATTTGAAGTGGATTATTTTCCACTTCCTTGTTTATAATAAACACTGATCTACTGGGGCCTCGGAAAGCAGCAGAGAGGCTTTGCCTCAAGCAGTCCTGCGATGTCTTTTCATGTTTTCTTCTTTAGGTGTTTCAAGAAAGACCCATTTCAGGCAGGAAAACATTCTTTTCTGACCCAAGGAGGTTTTAAAATAATACCTTGAATGTCTTACTTTGAAACTTTGAGGCTTTTCCCTCATTTGGTGATTTTGTTTCTGATATGTGGTGTGTACTTTCCCCATTTCTGTGTAAGAAGGGGGCAAGGTTTGTCACTTGTGCAAAGCTCAGCCTGGGCCCAGTCTGGCCTCTCTTGCATTCTGTGGCCCAGAGCTCCCAGTGAAACAGGCCCGTGTGGTCCAGGCCCGCGTGGAACCTGGGCTGCAGTCACGGTCACTTAGACCACAGAGACAGCCAGCGAGGCTTCTCCTCTAACCAGTGTTTGTTTGTTTATTTGCTTGTACCTACTTTGAGCACATCTTAGATTGTGTTAGTAACTCATAGACAAGAAGAATTTTTGTTTTCCTACAGTGTTTGGGAAATTGTATGTGAAAATTCCTAACTGTGCCATGCAATCTCTCACTTTATTCCTATTAATAATAATTTAAAGAAAAAGAAATAAGACTGTGCCATCTGCTAGTAACAATTAAGGACAATAATATGCATAGAGTACTCTTCTGTTGCTCCTAGAGAGCTAGGGAGTGCAGGATTTTGGCTAAATGGGTAGTATGCCTTTTTTTCTTTTTCTCTCGCAGGGACGCACACACTCCATGCCTGGAAATTTTTAGAAATATAGTAGAATATGTCTAATACTAATAATATAATAACTATATACTAAAAACAATGTTCCAGAAGCTGTTTTAAAATATATATGTTTGTAAATTATGTACATATGACTACATAATATATATGTGGCATATGCATTATGTGTATGTGGTACATAGGCATTACCCATAACAATCATATTAGAAAGTACCTCTGTCTCCATTTTACAGATGAGGAAGCAGAGGCACAGAGAGATTAGTGACTTGTTCAAGATGAGACACACAGCTGGTAAAAAAAGGGGTTATGTATTTAACCACCAGGTGATACTATTATACCCCCACTACTGGATGCTTCCTGGGTGTCTTAGGAGGCACTTCCGATTTTTGCAGCAACTCAAGAACTCACCAGTAAGAACCTTAGTTAGGAGTTTGAGTTGATAGAAAAACAATGGACCAATACTTGTAACCTTTCTTGTACAATTTACAAGTTGTATATACTTGGGCACATCTCTTAACGGAATCTCACTATCCTCATCTGTAAAATGGAGATTATGACATCTATCCACATACTTCATAGAGGTGTCATAAAGGCATGTAACATAATGAATCTAAAGACCCCTGAAGACCCTTCAAGTGCTACATAAATATTCAGAAATGGTTCCTTACATGGTCACAGTTAGGTCTGGAATGCTGTGCTAAGGCTTTTTCACTCTGAGCTCAGTGCCCCCTTTCACTCTTCTGTGCTCTATCAGTGTGTCTTTCAAGCAAATTCATATGCTGATCTGTGTTAGTTCCTATTCTGCAGAATTGAGAAGCGTTATACTCACCCTTTAAATACAATCCCCTCACTGCTATGATGGAGAATGTGTTACACCACTAAGGAACCCACCTCTCTTTTTGTTTTTTCAGATTTAAGAAACATTACTTTCCTTTTCTCCTTCTTTCCTAAGAGACTAGAATCCTGTATTGCAAGTGACAGTTCCCTCAATAAATTTTAACCAAGCAGAATCTGGGATGCTTAGAATGGAAGAGGTCTCATGTAAGCTGGACCAAGACTTTACAGATAGGAAAATTGAGGGTCTTATCTGACATCACCCAGCCTATAAGGGCCAACGTGGGCCAAGAGCCCACATGTCCTGACTTCCAGCCCAGAGCCAGTTCTGCTTCATGATCCTGCCCCTTGCACTCAGAAGCTGAGGGTATTTGTGGTTTGTTTGTTTTAGTGCTTGCTTTTATTACTGATAGCTCTTCTGCAAGGAATGCCTCCCCTCTCTAAGCATTTATTCTTTGTTACTTACAGAAGAAGACTGCATAAACTGGGCGTGTCAAAGGTCACCCAAGTGGATTTCCTGCCAAGGGAAGTAGTATCCTACTCAAAGGAGACCCAGACTCCTCTTGCCACACATCAGTCTGAAGGTAAACTATGTCTTCGGCTTACTTTCCTTATTATCTCTGGAGAAATCGCCAGGAAGTAACATCTTCCTTATTGATTTCCTCTTACAATAAGAACTCTTCGTAGGATACAAACTAATAACACTGAAAGCCAAAGGCTCCTCTGAGTTTGAAAGCTATGGAGAGGGAACTCAATGATACTCTTCCAAGTGACCTGGCAACTTTAAATTAGATAAACTAAAGAGGTTTATCTCACTACATCGAAATCATGTAAGGAGAACAAAAATCATCAAAGAACAATATTATAGAAATAGTGCTGAATTTTATCAATAAGAATACATTAAGCATACCTTAAGAATCTTAAGCATACATTAAGATTCATCATTTGCATGGGTTAGCAAACTATAGCCCACCACCTGTTCCCAGAAATAAGGTGCTATTAGAATACAGCCACATCCAACCATTGACATCTGTGGTTACTTTATTGCTGCAGTGGCAGGGCTGAGAGGTTGTGAAAGAGACCTTATGGCTCAAAAAGCCTAAAATCTTTACTATAACCTGGCCCTTTACAGAAAACCTTTGCTGACCACTGATTTGGTTTGCCAATTGAGGTGACAACACACGAGAGTTTCTGACCACAATTTAAAAGTATTTTCCCGTGCAAACTTCCACTGAGGTGAATGGAAATTGAACCCCATAACTTCTTTGTGTATGCCAGAAAATATCAAGTGAAAAAGTCACATATGGATATCAGAGAATCATAAAAATACACTCATAAGAGAAGTCGAAGTTGATAAATACCTCCTAGAATTCAAAACTTTATCAGAGCAAGATTATGCAAAAGCAGAAGAGGGAGATGTGTATTCTGAAAACAGGATAAGTGAAGGTTTCATTGTTAGAGGCTAACGTTGTTATAGCAAAACAAATCCTCTTTTTACTTTATGTTATTTTATTTTTCGGTGTGGTGAAGAGGATGTTGGAATTCTGGGTTCCTTGTTGTTATGTAGTAAATATGGACAAAAGCCATGAAATACAAAAATGATTAGCATTCCCCACCTGGTGATTTACAAGAAATATAAAAATCAGTGCACTTTTGTTTGTGCAAGCTACAGGTTTTCAGTTTTGGTTCTAAATAAATAATGCCAAAAGCAAAGTGAATCAGATTCCTTGAAGTCCAAGGTGCCGTCAGGCATTCTGAAAATCTTTCCTATACAAACTGTTGTGGGGACAATTCTTTTGTAGCAGGGCCTCCATTTTTCAAGCCCCAGTGAAATGAATTTTAGAAGCAAACAAGTAGCACCCTCTGGTGGTCAGCTTTTAAACCAAGCAACCCAACAAATGAGACCTGTATATTAACGTGGCTGAAAATACAAAGTTGGGGGGAAAAGAAAGAAAAGAAAAAGAAAATACAAAATTAGAAAAGCCTGTGAGAGTTCACCTAGTCTATCCTTGGGCCTCCAGACAAGAACAGGAAGATCGTTAAAAAACATCCTCACCACCCAACCAAAACATTTGTTTGACTTAATTTGCTGCCAGAGGTATTTGCAGAGCTGTAGCTGGAGGCATGTTTATTTAGCCCAAAACTTGACCCATAGCATAAAGTTATACAACTGAAATAGGAGAAGGAGTGAATTATTTTTTAAAATGTGTACTTAAGATATTGGAAGTGGTAAAGAAATATTTACAAGGGAAGATAAATTAAGGATGAAAAGGCATCAGCTCTAACGTTTTAAACTGGAACACATCAAAAGGAAAAGGCTGTACATTCCGTTTTATTACTGCAAGGAGAGCTTGGGAGCCCTCATTATGCTGTGGTCCAAGCAGCAGGAAAGGAGGAATTTATTTCTCAGCCATTGGCAGAAGTTCTTTCTGTTTTGTTCACAAGATCCATCAAGCTTTTTTGTGGTAAAGGGCATTTAGATGGTTCAGATTCCACAATACAGAACCCAAAGCTAGCTACCGTAGTTCTTGACATTTAAGCAATCCCGGATGGATTTGGACAGAAAAACCTTTCAATTTGGGTTCAGCAAACTGCCCCTCCCCACAGGCAATGATGCCTTGACCCTTGGCTGCCAGCAGTCACCCGGCTGCCTGACCATCTAGGGTGCTGGTGCTCACTTTCACCTGCTGTGGGGAGGTGGTTGGCAGGAGAGCTGCGCGGACCAGTGGACACTTGGCAGTGAGGTTCTACCATGCGGCAGATGTGGGCTGGCTCCACTGTGGGGTTTGAGCTGTGGCAATGTTTTCATGACAACTGCGCCTTTCAGTGGCAGAAAACAACTACTGAATTTTATGACACAATGAGGCTCTTGGGTGGCTAACATTTGAAACTGTGGCATATATAACATCCACTTTGGCTTGCTGTTGCCCATAATGTAGGAAGGCATGCTGATTATTTTTTGTCATTGTTTAACTGTGAGCAGTTTAATGATATTCAAACTAATGATCTCAGAGCATTGATTTGTTCTGCCTCTAATGGATTCTAGTGCATTCAAGTTTTTACACATTCCCATTTTACTTTTGAAAATGAAGGGGAAGGTACTTTGGATTTGCCCAAGCTTAAGTATTCTTTCTCTGCTCTGCACTGCAATGAACGTTCTCATCATAGTGGCTATTAATTTTTGATCATAATGATCTGTTATGAGAAACACTCCAGAGTGTGATATAAACAAGCAAGATATAAGTATTAAGTCTCCATGAATACTGTTCTTTCAACAAAGTTAGACCTTCCTTCTCTGCAAGGAAAGAAGGCCGAGAATGGGCAGCACTGACTTGGAGAAGGATACCTTTGCCCCAATATGTTTTAAACACATAATTTTATTCCCAAGTAGCAAGAAAGGAAAAAGAAATTATGGTCCCCTCCAAGGCTACCTCTGCGTTGCCTATTATGAACCCATTTCTGTACTGACCATGAGGTCCTGAGCTTAGGGAGCCAGTCTTTTGCATCTTTATTATAGAGAGTAAATGACCGGCTTATCATAAATACCCAAGAAATGCTGTTGAATGACAAAGATAATGCCAGACGTCTCTAGAAACACCAATTCACTATGGTCCCCCTGGGGGAATGAAAATTTCTTAATCTGCTGGAAAGATGCAAGTCGCACTGGAGGAAGGAGGAGGAAATTTCCACAACCTGGTGCATAATGCATAGTTTGTTTTGATAGTCACCTGGTATCTTGTGGTCAAGGTTTAATCTCTACTCAGGCCCAGTAGCAAACCAAGACATCTCTCTCAAAAGAAGAGTAGTAATGCAATAAAGAGGCCACATTATTATTCTAAAATCCAAGCACCCCTTCTGTGACTCACCTCTTAGGGACATTTGTTTGATTTCCCATAGACTCTTGGGGCACCATTGGGTCAGCTGGACCATAATTTCCAAGTAGTATAGCCATTTGAGAGTAAAAACTTTCGAACCACTGGGTAAATGGATTGAATAAGTACACGCAAATGTTGAACATGTTGCCTGCAAAACCCAGAATGACCCACTAGGCATTTTGACTCTTAATGTTAGAGAATTGAGGTATTCCCATATACTTTGGAGTTTATCAGATGACTAGACCAATACAGACTTTCTTAAGGTAGTGGATCCTTATATTTTCAAAGATTTTTTCCTCCATCCTCTGGCCTACATAATGTCTTAACTAGGTCTTATAGGTACCAGCTACAGCTGCCTCTCCAGGTTCTGCTGACATGATGCTCCATGTTGAAGGTGAGATTGTCAAGGGCTACAGATACAGAACTGGCTCAGCCCTGATGTAGGATGATGAAGATGCAAAGAGAAAGGAGCTAGGTATTTGGCTCTCAAGCAAGGCTTAGTGTAGAATATGGTTTGGAGGTACTCCCAGGCCTCCGTATTCTTACCTACATTCAATTTCCCATTATTTCCTGATCATTGCTCTCACTTTCACATAGGTCACCTGGTGACACTAGCAATTCCACAGACCTTATTCAGAAACCCACAGAATTTAAACTTTGCTTTTGACTTTGACATTTCTGTAGACACTTATCACAAGCACAGAAAGTCTGTGGGTCTATGCCTAGAGCTAAAATATAGAGACTTGAGCCTGCCATCTATTTCTTAAAGCTGTCCAGTCCCGTTAGAAGTATCCACCTCACCCTAGTGTCTTTAAATTCTTCATGCCATTTACACTATTCAATAGCAATGAAAATTTGATCCCCTAAGTCCTTCTTTTCAATGGACACTTGATTAAAGATCACCATAGAAGAAAAATTATGCAGCTATTTGTTACAGTTGACAGATTCCCATTCCTGAACTCTTACTGAATTTTCACTTCCTTTAGCATCAGCCAGGGCAGATAACCAACATCAGCTTCCCATGTGACTGTCTTGTGATGGTAGTTTCTGTACCAGACTGAGTTTGTGGTTGCTGACAATAGAAACTAACTCTAATTAAATTTAAACAGAAAAAAGGTTCGTTGAGAAGATATGAGATACTTAATAGAATTGACCAAAAAAAAAAAAAAGAAAAAAAAAGCCAGAGCATTAGGTTTGAAATAAAAAGTAAATTAGGTAGCTGCTATGGACTGGATTGTGTATCCCCACAATTCGTATATTGAAGGCTTAACCCCTAATATGACTATATTTGGAAAAGGGCTTTTAGGAGGTAATTAACGTTAAATGAAGTCATAAGGGTAGGGATCTCTAATTGGTGGCCTTATTAGAAAAGGAAGAGAGACAGAGAGAGATCTTTCTCCCTGTGTTTGCATTCACTGAGGAGAGGCTATGTGAGGACACAGCAAGAAGGCAGCTGTCTGCGAGCCAGAAAGAGAGCTTTCACCAGAAACTGAACTGGCTGGCACCTTGATCTTGGACTTCCCAGCTTCCAGAACTATGAGAAAATAAATTGTCCTTGTTTAAGCCACCCAGTTTATGCTATTTGTTATGGCAGCCCAAGCAGACTAAGACAGCAGCTAACACAGCAAGATCACACCACTGAACCTTCCTGGTTAGAAGACCTGAGCCTCCTGACTTCCTGTCACTGGATACTCTCTGTTAGGCTCATG